AGTGGAGACGGCATGAGAGGTATGATCTGAACCATTCAACCACAGAACCATGAAGGTTGAGGTGAGAGGAGAGGCGGTGGATGAGGGTAGAGTGATCAATGGTGTCGAAGGCAGCAAAGAGGTCAACGAGGATGAGGAGGCAGAGGGAGCCCTGGTCGCAGATGGACAGAATGTCATTTGTCACTTTGACCAGGGCTTTTTCTATGCTGTGGGTGGCACAGAAACCCAATTGGAGGGAGTTGTGAAGGAACTGGCGGGAGAGGAAGGTACAAAGCTGGGAAGCAATGACTCATTCCAGGACCTTGGAAAGGAAATGTAGGTTGGAGATGGGGCAGCAGTTTGAGTGCAGGAATGGGTCCAGGGAGGGTTTTGTAAGGTTGGGAGTGATGATGGCTGTTTTTAACAGGGTGAGAACAGTACAGTGGATAGGGAGCGGTTTATGATGTCTGTGAGTGGAGAGGCAAGGAGGTGGAGCTGGGAGGTAAGGAGAGGGTTAGGGATGGGTTCAAGGGAGCAGGTGGCCGGTTTCATGCAGGTTATAGTGGTGGTGAGAGAGGAGTGGGAGACAAGTTTGAAGGTGTGGAGGGAAGGAATGGGTAGGGGCTAGGTGTGAGGGGGAGATGTGGAAGGGGTAGTAGATGGTAGGGCAGAGGCAGCTGAGCAGATCCCATTGACTTTGGATTCGAGGAAATCCAACATCGCAGTTAGCATTGGATGTGAGGATGGGTGAGGAGTGAGGGTGGGCTGAGGAACCGATTGTTGATGGAGAAGAAGAGCCTGGGGTGTCCTTGGCCTCCAAGATTGTCTTGGAGTAGAATGCCGATTTAGCAGAGGGGAGGGATTTGATCAGGTCCAGCCAGATCTACCGATGGACTGTTAAGTTGGAATTGAGCCAGATGCGTCCAGCGGCATGCACCTGTGCTTTAAGTGAGCGGAGGTGGCTGGTGTACCATGGTGACTTTTGTGAGTAGGAGATGGTTTGGGAAGTGAGGGGAGCAAGGGCATCGAGAGTGGTGGAGATGGAGCTGTGGCGAAGAGTGACCGAGGAGGATAGGTCATTGCAGGAGGAAGCCCAGAGGGGGAGAAGTTCAGATGACTCGAAGGCGGAGGAGTGGCAGATGGGGGAAATTTTTTTCCAGAGCTAGTAAGAGATGGAGGTGGGTTGGGTGGTCACCCTCCTTTCCCCTTGCTCTCCACCCTCTCCACCCAGCTCGGGTCCGAAACACTGATTGTTCAGCACCTTTTGGACGTTCTCCCGACATGATATACAATGTAATTTTGTTGTTGTTGAAATGTTTCAAAGCACTTCACAGAATATATTGTAAAGCAGATTGCGCACAGTAATGGTTCACAAACAGTCATGCAGTGAGTGACCACATATCTTTGGGGGTGGGGCAGGATAGGATTATTACTCTTGTAAAGCGATCTGCTTTTGGAGGAAGAGGAATAGTTACAGTTTACAGTAGTCAAATTGAATGAGCTTAGGGTCATCTCTCCACTCTCCTTTGCTTAGCAAACAATCCTGTCCCTGGAAGGCATTCCCAAACTCCATGTTCCATTATATGAAGGGCCCTATATAAGTGCACATTGTTGTTGCTGTTCTTCCTTCGGTGTTATAATTTTTTTTACCAGTCTTAGAAACGAAAAAGTCTTTGTGCTCAGGAGGCTATTGTTGATAGAACATCAAACTATTATACAAACTTTAAATACTTGGCTTGATTTTCAGGTTTTGAAAAATAGATATATCTGCTTTAACTCAGATTAACCTTCTTCTAAATAGATTTTTCTTTTATTTCACAACCTGAAGGCACAAAGGACACTGACGAAAGAAAGCCAGTAGATGGAGCTAAATGCATTCATTACATTTAAGTTCCTCTTAGAGTGCAACTCTGCCACTGAATTCATTGTTAGAAAATGTTATGGATGTCTCCATGGAGAACTATCTGTTGTTAACATCTGTCTTAGCAATACTTCGAACATCATATTCTATCTGAGATAATAGGAAGAATAGTTGGCATTTTATGTTTCTTTGTGCCTGCTAACTTAGGAAGTTGTCCCTTTGCCTTGAGGACTGATAACCGATTAACAGCCATAGCTTTGATGTGTACTCCCACTGGAATCAGACTATTTGTGGAAACATATTTTGGTTCAGATGCAATGTATCGGTCTATCAGCAAATGGAATTTAAAACTGCAATTCATTACTGGCAAGGAAAGTAACAAAATAGAGTAAACACTGACTTGCACTACAAGAGTTATTTGATAAATCATTTTCCATTATACCAGATGTGATGCAGTTAATAATGTAATCTACTGATGATGAACATCAACAAATTCATAAGCACAGACGAAGACGAAATGAGTCATGGAATGCATGCCTGACTATTTCCCTGTATGCTTATAAACTATCAGCCCTGTTATTGCATTCCTGCCAGCTTCACATTGAAAGCTCAGGCACCAAAGTGTGATGGGCACCCATTAACATGCAATTTTAATATGCAGATTATGCAAATATATTGCATTGTAATATAAATTAAAAATGGCGCAGGCAAAGCATGCATCATATGTCAGTGTAAGTAAAGATCAGACTCGCAATGGGGTCTAATATGTGGCCATTCGTAACATAACAGGAGTCCATCAGAAATTGATCACATACGGTAGAGTTCCCACTGGTGCTCATGACACACATCTGGCTAAACTACAGGGGTCACTATTGTCACTGATTCTCTATGAGTCACTCCTTGTTGTATGTGTAGCATTTTTGACGCTTCTTTAAATAATAATTTAACACGCACTGTTTATTCAAACTAGCACCTTTTTTCTGCGCCTATAATAATAATTTGGCCACTCAATCCACGACTGTTTGTGGGACACTGCTGTGTGCAATTGGCTGCCGGGTTTCGCCCAGTCACTCTATTTTACAGTATATTCCGTTAAGTGCTTTGAGATGTCTCAAAGTCGTGATAAGGCGCTAAATCAAATGCAAGGATTATTATTATTATTTTGCTAGTGTTAGTGGGCAGCGGGTGTAAATCCCCAGTCTGTCAATGTGACTTCCCTTTCTTATTATGACACTAAAAGCACTAACAAAACCCATCCAACTCAGCTGTTAGTGTAACCATAAAAATCTTTTAATCTAAGAAATTGAGGTTCACTTGGAGCACCTCTTGTGTTCCTGATATGATCTAATGCCCCATTTATGTTGAACTGAAATTGCTTCCAGCAGCAGAAACTATTTATATGTAAAGAGCTCTGTGCATAGAACTGTTCCTCTAACATTAAAAGCCTTAAAGATGGACCAAAGGACAACAGAAGAACTTTAATGGGTCATTTTAGTGGAAGACTTAAGCAGAAACTAAATCAATTTGCAGGGTCTGTGCTATGAATTGCTTTTTTTGGCAAAACTACTTCTCAAAGTTGTTTATTAGCTATCCAAAACTCAAAAATTTATCATTTTGACCCAAGTTTGACCCATTGGGATACACGTTGCTCTGTATCACAACACTGAAGCTCAACACTATGATTTTCACAAGAACTTTATTTCAGTTTTTGAGGAAACATTGAAACTGCCTCAGTTGGCCAATATGAATATCGCTTGTCTGCTCATTATCTGTGGCTATGTTTACTAAACGATAGGGTAATCTGTTCTCCTACCTTTTTGTGGCCTCCAATTCTCTCTCCTCCTGAAGATACTGATTTGTGCCAGTGAACAAGAACTCGTCCAGTTCTCCATGAAACTCTTCTTGTTTGAGCCTATGCAGTGGGTGTCCATTCTACTATGGGGCTATCACAACCAAGGCCAATTCTGTCTGTACAGTGAGGCCACACACACAGGAGACTTGCTTTCTCTATACTCCAACAGTGACATGTATGTCATTCTACAGTTTCCACTCTTCCAGATTTTTATCCCATTTTACCATTTGTTGACTGTAGTACAGATATGATTACCAAGACAAGGGATGAATGTTTGTAAATGCAGAGTAGTTTGTAATTCATATGAAGATAAGAGTGTCTACCGTCACAATCCAATCATAATCCTTCAGTGTGAAATCACATTGTTGAGCTGTCTCAAGGTGTTTCTACAGGTTTTACTGTAACATGTAACTACTGTGTCTTTCATAGGAAAACAGCTAAGTTGCTCACAGCAATGTCCCAGAAACAACTCAATTGTATTTAACATTGTTCACCAAAGTCACTGGGAGAAATTCCATTCGCTTTTTGAATAGTGCCATGGGATCCTTAATGCCTAGCTGATCAGTTGTGGGGACCCTGGTTTAATATCTCACGGCACTTCCAACAATGCAGTGCGTTATTTCTTTGTTACATTGGCAGCTCAGCTCTAACATGTGGATTCAAAATTGCTGATAAGATTTCTTTATCCTGGATAGACGCACCATTTTAGACCTTCCCTTCGGTCCCTCCACCTTCCAGGATTTCATCGTATCTGATCAATTCCGAGCCATTGTGCCACCAGGCATCCCAATTCCTTTAGTTAGTCAGCTTGATACACTTTGACCAAAGTTAACCTTTCAATAGATCTTAAACTTTTACAACCAACAATTTCAATGGAGTGGATTCCTTCAGGTTTCTCTATGGTCTTAAAATGGTTTGCTTGATCAATAACAGTGATCCCAATATTTATCCACCCTGCTCTTAACACTTTGTCCCACAGAGCTCAGGGCATGTCTACACCTCCAAGTCTCATTTGAAAGCCAGACAGGTTGATCAACCACCGATGCTTTGCATTAATACTGATGTGCCTGATTTTTACCAGGTGCATCTCCTCTGGGTCAATTCCACACTGCTTATCTACCCCTCAAAGAGGAATTATTTTCTAAACCTGATGCTCTGCTCACTTTATCATCCTTCAAAGTCTGAATGCCGAAAAAACCCATGGGGATTTGTACACCAGAACATCTGGTCAAAAGCCCATCAAGCTACCAGGATGTTTTGTTCTTCAACGTCACAAATTGATTAATAATAATGAACCGGACTCCCAACTTTTAAAGACAACTTTATTGCGTATCAAAATTGCAAATAATTGCCAAAATACCACAATCTCGTTGCAGCTTGCTTGAACACTATAAAAAAAACAAGAAATTGAAATACAAGAATTTCATATGCATTGCCAATTTCATAATCAGATTTCAACACTACCGAATCTCCTTTGAGTAAATTATTTAAAAAAAAACTTTACAGAATAGAAAACAGTAGAAATACAAAGATTCATTGTTCGGAAAGTACATCAGCAGCTGATGCGATTTGTATATAAGCAAAATGACCAAGAACTGTTGTAAAGTAATATTATAGTCCACGGCTGGTATCCATCTTATGCCTTTGAGAAAAGCACTTATGCTCTGCTTTAGGTAGTTGGCTGACTCTTCCCTTGCCTTGTTACTGTACTGCTGTTACTGTATTATGTTTCACTAACACAATTTTGATTTGCAGAAATTTGCTTAAAGCATTTCCTGCAATTTTCTTTAGAGAGAGAAAAAAATATTTGAAGATATTTATAATGAATATTGTCTTTGATAATCAGAATTATACTGCTGAAGAAAGCATTTTCAGTTATTAAATAACAGTTTTTTTCAACCTGGTTTCATCATGCGACACAAAATCAATACTGCAGGCATCCTGTGCCTTTAGCACTTTTACCGTAGTTCTCACACAATAATGAAAACACTGACTTAAAACTATCAGTTAAGCTTGCAAAGCTGGGTATAATACTGTTGTTTTCTGGGATGGTTTAAGATTGCAAGCTCGAACTTCGACAATAAGACATATGCGAAAATTGCCCTTTTAAACAATAAGTTACAGTGTGATATTTGGAGGGAAAGAAAAAGATCAATTATACATAACGTGTATAACTTAACAACCGAGCCAGTCAGTTTTGACACTCCCTACTTTAACAATCTTCAAGCTTTCATCTTCCATTTTGAGATAGTACCAATCCTTGAAAAAGTAGCTATGTCCTGTACAAAGGCAACAACAATCCAGATTAATGTGCAAATGGTCATACATTTTCCAAACGTGTTGATGAAAATTTAGAATTTTCTTCTTAACTTTACCGAACCCGCAAAACCTTTGAGATACGCATCCTGTAACTTGATTATACCAAATAATTTACTTTGTCTAAGATCCTCGTACCACATCGCACTCTTCTGCCCAATGAGCATCTACAATCTACATCTATCTAACCCTCAATCTCTGCCACTCTGAGCTGGTCAGCAAGTGCATAAGAGTGCCATAGGATGTCTATGTACCAGAGGGAACCTTACAAACAAGCCTGAGCCTTCCCAATTTATTCCATTGGGGGCAGTATCTCATCTCTTCTCAATAGACTCAGTTGAGACTCAGAACAGCTTGCATTGATGGGGAAGTTACTGTACTAGAACTTGCCTTCTCCTGAGTCCATAGAATAGCATACTGATCCACCTTAAGAATTTTTAAGCTAATATTGCAATTTTGTGCCAAATATACTAATTAGTATTTTTTTNAAGATAAACTTACAAACATGTTCTTTTAAATCAGATCACGCCATACCAAGGGGAGAAACGGGCTCGGTTCTTGACTTGTTAACCTATTATGTTAAGTCTTCTAGATGCAGTGGAGATAACATTTATTTTAAGGAAATTTCACTCACCATCTCCAAAGGACTCAAGAGTGGCATTTAGGTTGTCCGGGATACCATTCCAGGAATCTGCAATTAACTTAGGGAATCCGGGATCCATTTTCTTCTTTATTTCATTATATCTGCAAAAGTTGCAAGATATAATTCAAGTAACTTCACTGTAATAAATAACGTGAATTATTTCTCCAATTTAAATGTTCTCCTCCTTTCACTCCTGAAGGTGCTGACATGCTGGAGGCCGAGTTACATAGGCACCTACTCGTGGTTTGCCCAAGTGACTATTCTTCACAATGGGCAGCAGATTCTCCGTGCCTATGGGGAGCATCATAGCCAAGCCTGAACTTTACTCATCCAATATTCACGCATGTAATTTCAACAAGGCAGGTTACTTACACAGCTATAAAGAGTGGGATCCCCTTCTTAGCCATTAGCAGCACCTTACTGCTGTTTGTGGTCTTTGCTGTTAACAAATTGGCTGCTGCGTTGCAAAATACATTCACTACACTTTACAGTACAATCCTATGATGCACTTTGAAAAAAAAGTGCTAAACCTCCTGATGTGAAAGGTGCAATATGAAATACAAGGATTATTAGTAATATTACTACCCTGGCTGAGATCAGTTAATTCAGCCTAGTGTGGGGGGTTAAAACTCGATCTTTCCTGGTCTTTATGGCTCAGTTTAACACTGCAGCTTTTACCAACCTAACCATTATACAACTAAGGGATACTACCTACAGTACTTTCTGTAAATTACATGGCTAATACCAGTATAATGATGCACGACATCCTTGGAAAACAATGTAAAGTTTAATCACTTCAATTCTTTTACCTACAAAAGCTGGCACTTAATATCATGGCCACCTATAAATTAACTTTATTGACATAGTGCAATTCAGCCTACCTCCAAAACTTGTCACCAGCAAAGATGTAAGTCTTTTTGTTTTTCTTCCAGTTAAATGCTGCATCAACACGTGGCAAGTCAGCTGGGAGCCCAAGTGCAGAGAGCTTTTTGGGGTAACCGCTCTCTAGATCAACAGCTCTATACACCCAGTATTGATCACCTGAAGAAAAAAAGACCAACATTTACCAGGACAATACAATCACTGAGTGATGCTTAAAACTAGTGTCTGAATGATATATATTAAAACATGAAATGTATTAGCAAATACCAACAACAACATTTGTCAGCCTGGTAGTGCACCATTTGTAGTGCTCTCGACTCTGAGTCGGAATGCTGTGGGTTCGAGTTCCACGTCAGGACTTTGCTCACAAGTCTTGGTTGACACTCCATTGCAATGCTGGGAGAGCATTGCAGTGCTGGAGGATTCGTCCTTCAAATGAAGTCTCTTGTGTGTGCTTAGGTGAACATTAAAGATCCCATGGCACAATTTAAAAAGAGAAGGAGGTTTTTCCTGATATCCTGGCTGACAACCCCCCAAATAAAGTTGATCATTCACTTAATAACCAATGACTGTTTGTGGAACACTGTGGCCAAATTAGCTGCTAGAAAATACACAGTTACTTCACTTTAAAATAAATCTGTGCAGCGCTTTTAGGAGCCTTCCCAACATCTCACATGTAATGATTATTACTTTTATTTCATTTATATAATCGCCTTTCACGTTGGGAGGACGTTTCAAGGGACGAAACCTCTATTAAGTTACATTTCATCTTGTTATCGGTTGTAGTTAAAAAATAAAAGCTGAGGAATGGGCTCCTTTAAAGTCGCTGGGGGATGGCGATCTGTACTTGATTCCCAGATTGCTACTTTATACAAAAACAGTTTGTTATTTCTTCTCATATTTAATATACTTAGTCATTATTGTTTCCACATGTGACCTAGCAAGAGTGAAAACCCAAATGTGGAAAATATTTGTGCTTGAAATTTCCTTTAACCTATTCCATTCACTCCGCCTGCAGGATAGCACGAAGGATTTGTACTGTGTTCTTGGTGTTTTATAACATTCGTGCTTTGGAACGATTGCATTATTTTTCATAAGATTTTAGAAAACTAATAATCACAACCAACTCTAAAAAAAACCCTCTTAGTTGTGTAATGAAGCAAATGTTTTTAGTGTGTTCGGCTCATACATATTCAGATACAATTTAGTGTGTACCAAACATTTAGTGCTATCTGCAACAACTTGTTTTGCGGAAGATGCTTATGAATGAATGAAAGCTCGAAACAGCGTTTCTATGGTCCTATTGAAATGAATACCTGCAAAGAAGACAGCCTTCTCATCTACAGGCTCCTGATAGGCAGCATCAAATGTTTCAGGCAGATCACTCCAGTAAACAGCAACAAGCATAGGTCCTGTGGGTTGGGTGTAAGTGGCTGTCGTCCTCCACAAGAATCTAAAACAGCATCACAAGTTTGAGGGAAATTACAATGGTCTGATTCATCAGCACATCTGTTTTTTATCATTGTGAGTGAGGTGTATGCCAGCAGTATAAATGTATAAGTCTCTGCCTTTGGAACAGGAAGTTGTTTTAAAAATATTAAAAATTACGATTTACAAAAATCAAAGAGTCCTGATGTATCTGCAAATTCAATTAAAGTACATGCAAAGGCAACATTTCATCTCTGTGCCAAGTGGAAAAATAACATGACTGTAAGACTGTACCAAGCGGATTTAAATGGAGTTAATTGCTTGTGCTGGAAGGACTGCGAAAGTTAACCAATTCTGTGACAAGAATTTATGTAGAAATGAAGAGAGTTCTTTTTTTAAAAAAATTGAACAGATCTGATCACTGAGAACACTTTATAAATATACAACTTCTAATGTAGGTAAAATTAATATTAGTTTGATAATAATCCACAACTGTTTGTGGAACACTGCTGTGCGCAATTGACTGCTGCGTTTCACCCACAAAATACACAGTCAATCCGTTTAACAATATATTATATGAAGCGCTTTGAGACATCTCAATGATGTGATAAGCCCCTATATCAATAGTAAAATAAACTTAAGGTGAGGTTAAATTGCATCAGTGTGTGGTGGGGTTAAAATTCCGTTGTTTTTACATGCCGCACTTTAACTTCTATGTTTTATCATTGATCAACTATTATCATTTAATTTTTTTCCAAATTATTTTTTGATCTATTTTCAAGTCCAGTGACGCTTAAGGTTAAATCTCTGATTCACTGGAGAGTTAAAAGTGAGGGAAGACATGCCTCTTACAAATTAAAAGGAAAATATAGCCATGGTCCACGAGTTCTTACCGATTTTTAAAGAAGAAAATTTCCCCTCTGATTTGTGCCACAGAGTCAAAGACAATATCTTCCTTACAAATGTCGGTAGGAGTGACAGGACCTTGTGTTGGTGGCAAGGGTCTATCGGTTGGTATTCCTGAAGAGGATGCAAATGGTGATCAGTTGACAGGAATGAAAGACTTACTGCAGGAATTATAAAAATACAAAACCAAACGCGAGGCTTACAGAGTTAATAATCCAATCTGATTTACTGTACCGTAAAGTTCCTGAATTCCAAGAATATCATCCTGCGGGAGTCTGAAGTGTTTGCTGTAGGTGTAAATGGGGGCCATCAGAGCTCCTGGGTCCTGGGAATGCTCCAAGCCCAGTGCATGGCCAAACTCGTGGGCAGCAACAAGGAAAAGACTGTAACCTATAAGAAACCAGATGTATAATCAGACTGCACTTTTCCCATCATGTCTAGAAGGAACCACATCAACCATTTACACTACCTTTAATACAATCATGGGACAATCCGTTCCTGGATATAACTGTCACAGACACCTAACCATTTCAGGTCTCGGGCATTTTCCATTACTCACTAAATGCGCGAATTAAGTGTCACAATAGATGCACTAAAATGGCCCGTTTTTTTTCTTCCTGCTTGACGAGCTGGGGGTTCTCGTTTTTCACAGCAACAGATAACCTATAAGCTGCCCAAGGAATATACAAAGGCCAAAAAGCTCTCTCACTCTTGCAGATGTTGTGTCACTTGTGGCATGGCAGAGCATGTCTTGAAGCTTTGTGGGTCACTTCAATGTAGTATGGTAGGCTACTGAACATTTTAATTTGTGGTGGATACAGAGGCTGTCATGCAGAACTGGCAAAAATGCAAATGTAAAACAGTGCCTGATGGATCAATTATTAAGTCACCCAAGTAGCACCCATTGGAATTGTAGAAATTGTACAATAGGTGGACCATTTACCCTATTCTGGTGCTAGCTCTTCTAATGGGAGTTGACTACTCTCATTACAATTTTGCATTCTTGCCTTGCACACTTTTGTACTGTCCCTCTTCAAATATTTAGCGCATTCCCTTTTAAATATCATGATCTCAAAACACAATAACGTCTTTCAGCAAAGATTTCCATGTTCTAATAATAGCCCTAGCCCCCTTGCTCTCTTGTAACCAGGGGTATCAATACAAAGTCTTGAAGAGATTTCTGAAAATGTTATTTCCCCTGCCATAGAAAAGAATGTAAAGTGAAATTTATGGGGTAAAAGTTTCCTTTGAAAGTACTCTGCCATTCCTTCCCTTGTGTACGATTCTCCTTCATTCTACAACTTACCCTGATCGGGCAGAATCCCCATTTACTATCTTCATCATAGTTTCCAGTCGTGGAGCACCACAGCCTGCCATCATTGCGGCCACTAGTGGTGCAGGATTGATACGGGTCACCAAGGAAGGTGAAAGGAAAGAAACAAGGAAGGCCATTGGAATTTCCTCCAATTGTTGACATGGCTGAAAAGGAAGCAGAAATTAGTTATGTAACCAGTCATTGGATCCAAGTCATTTCAAAACTCGTCACTGTAATGAAAAGAATTAAAGCTAAAACTTAGTGTTATTGACATAGATCTTGGTATCTTTGCTTTAAACTATCATTTACTAATCTTCAAAATACTTGTGAGCCTAAGCGCGCTGAGACGCTACACCGCATGTAGGGTGCTATATTAATATAAGTTGTTGGTGGTCCCTTCTCCAGGTGAACAATGATATTGGTTAAGAAGCAGGTAAAACCGGAGGGAAAACTATTAATTGGAAGTAAAACAGCTATCTTTACCATATTCATTTGAGCACATTCTGCGTCAGAGAAGTGTTAAATTCAGTCTCAACTTTGAAGTCAATTTTATGCAGGACTTAAGAACTAACAGAAAATTGGCTTCAAAATTCAGGCTATATTTAAGAATTTGGCAAATTCCGATGCCGTAAATCTCCCCAGGTATATTCAAATTACTCCCCAGGTATATTCAAGAATCAACAGGTTCAATGAATAGAAGAAGACTTTTGCACACTTTACGCAACCCACCCTATATTTAATGCTTGGTACATAACATGTCAGTACCTTGCTCTGGACAGAAACCATACTTTGTATCTGCATCATAGTTACTGGTTGTGCCACACCATCGATAGCCATCTGATCTCCCATCTGTTGTGCAACTCTCGTATTGGTTGCTTTCAAATGTAAAAGGGAACTTGCATGGTGCTCCGTCTGCGTTTCCTCCCATCGTAAAGAGTGCTATAAGGAAGAAAGTGTTTTATATTTTCTTGTATGCTTATATGTTTAATTTTCAAGGTAAATAACCAATGTTATAAGATGAATGAATCACTCTTTACTTCTGCTAATACAACAGCAACTGCGACCATACAAAAGTGAGGAAATATATTCACGATTTGCTACTTATTTCGATTTGGTGTAGGAACATTCTGTTTTTGAAGATTCAGATTGAACAACATTCAGCTGCAGCTGTTGAGTGAATGAGCCAAACTTTAGGTCATCGTCAATGCTAATTGTTGGTTAAAGATTAGTGGAGCTCAAAAGGAATCTCAGCGCTCTGCAGATTCATATAAAACTGGAGCTACAATCTGGAACAAATTGTTTTGTGCCCAAGTCAAATTGCTAAAATGTACAACGGTAGCAAAAATGAGACAGCTCTGTCAAAGGATTTTTTTCCTGTTGATAAAATAGTAGTTTTCAGCTAAAAGTAGGTTGTAACTTATCCTAATTGTAGAAACAAAAATCCAGATTATTGCAAAGAAAGCATAAAACTAGCTATTCCCAGAAAATGCCAAGAAGGTTCCAAGTTTTGTCCCTGGAAGTTAGTTGATCACAGCTGGAATGTTAACAGTATGCTACAATTGGTTTCATTACGTCTTTGATAAGTAAGCAGTAAAAGTAGTCAGAGTTTCCACTCTGGATGGCCATTCAGTGATGTTTGCTGGAAAGCGTGCTGGATGAGACCTGGATTCATTTCAGATAGGATATCTCCATAGCATCTGAATAAATTCTGTCAGGGTTCACACATGAAGAAAAACCTCCAGTACGAGATTAGCAGGGACAAGTTTCAGGAGAGGAGGGAAAACATGTGAAACTTACATTCATGGGGGCAAAATCCATATTTTGAATCAACATCAAAATTGTATGTTGTGGAACACCAAAAGAATCCATCATCACGACCTTCAGTTGTGCAGGTTGTGAACTCCTTCCCATTAAAGAAAAATGGAAATTTGCAAAATTCACCATCCGCATTCCCAAACCTTGCCTTAATCACTGCAAAATACAAGGATTTCAAAAGGTTTATTCAATTACAAGTCAGTGGGTAAAGTACAGTTAATTACACTCAAATCTTATGTAGAATAACTTATGTAGAATAACTTTGTTATTCTAAAGTGTTAACTTTCCATGATAACTAATTGTTAACTATTTTAATACTGGAAAGTATCAATACATTTGCAATGAATTAGATATGCATCTAGCTGTTGTAATGATTTCTGCACAGACAAAGGCCCAGAAAAGTAATTGATTATTCATGATTTAAGTCCAATGTTCTACAACAGCACGGAAATTAAATTTAAAAAATAGAGCGTATTTGGGGGGACGGGGGGGATTTTACCATTTTTACTGCAATGGGTTTGTAATAACAGGGTAATATCACTGCCAGTTTGTGAGAATTTACTGGTGCAAATGTTTGCCATGTTAATTTATAAAAACACTTGACCATAATTACCTGGAAATCATATTCGAGAAGTTTTCAGGCACTATGGCATGATAAAAATGTACTTTGTTTCTCACTTTCTTATAGCATAGAAAAATTGTGAAGGCGTTTGGGTCGTTGAATCGTGATTACTAGCAAATGCCTTATTTGTTGAAAAAGGTTACTTTTATGACTGGATTCCAATCAAACATGAATACGAAACTTGAGATCATGATCCAGAATCCGATGATTGCATACCTTGTCCTTCACCCAGTGTCCAGAACTCATCATCATCAAAATGAGAATCACCTCCGATGCCCTTCCCTGGGGCAAATGCATGTGCTAGCAGTCCATCCTTCCCATCAAATGGATATCCATCTCCATGTTCTGGAAATATATTGAATTTAATCCAAGACATATCACATAGTTGAAAGACAAATGCATAACTTTTACAAACGTTGTCCCACATCAAAACTATTTGACTTTGTTGTTTGCTAACTATCCCAATCAGAAATCAATTTGTTGAAACTGTATTGGTACAAATCAAAAATGGATTGTTTTCCAAAAATAAACTGAACACCAGTACACATTAGGATTCTGCTTAAAAATAATACATTAGTGCTTTTGAGGTGCTTATTTGCTATTTTTAATGTATGTTTTCTGTTAGTACTAAATATTTATGCAGAGCAAAGCAAACCTCCCTGGACTCAGTGTAAGTGAAAAGGAGCTTTGCACATTCATGGTTGGGGCATGTACAGAGTTCCACCAATCAGTACTAAATGCCAGTAAATTTTTAACATTACTAAATAGCCGAGAGAAGTGATTCATTTCTAACACTGAAAAATGTAAGGGCAATCTCTTGGACTGGATAGGACTTTTAAAATTTAAAAGTTCACTTTACAATGGTTGTTGCTTGACTGAGGTGATATATCATCTGAGAAAAAGTGCAAGAGGTGTAAAGCTATGTCTCTGAGATAGCCTTCCCCCACTTCCTGGAATTGGATACCTGGATCCTTCATCTGAACTTCTCCCAGTCAATGTACAGCAATTTGCTACGAAGATCATGGGAAATTGATGCAAACTGTACACTTTAACTGTAACGTAAAGAGACCCAGGGAGAGAAAAGCTACAATCAGTCACAGGCCGTTTTGTCAGTAAGTAAGGATCCAGGTCAAGAGTAAGGTTTGCCAAGTATTTTGAAGTTTTAATAGTTTTCTGAAAACTATTACTATTATATTAAAATAAGTAATTTAGAACCGTTCTTGTCCGTCCTACTTGTCAGGGGTTTGGCTTAAAGACATGTCTACTCTTCCAAATCTGAATCTGACCAATTTTGAATTACTGCCTGCCTTCTCAGAGCCAATTCATCCCCAGGGTGATCCAATTTAGCTCCCCACCTCTTCCCCGATCTCTTTCACTTTATTGCTCTTCAAACGCTGAAGGGCTGAGTAGACTGATCAATCAGAATTTGGTCCCAAGTGGGGTTCTCAACCAACTGTAAGGTTGTTCCTGTTGAAACAACATTGCCAAAACCTCAATAAGCATTAATAAACACTCTGGGATGCTACCCTGCATAAGGGGTGCTTATATATATATATATATATACATTTAAATATATATATGCAAGTTGTTGTTGTTTTAATTATCCAATGTTTAATGATGTGGGGGAAAAAACATCAGGTACCCAGGCGTCCAAAGTTGATCATGATATCTGCCTCTCCATCAAAGAGCCTCGTAAATTTCAATGGTGTAACGCTACTCCACACCCCAAAAGCACGAGCAAAGGCATCATCCACAGTCTCGGAGTCCAGGTCGTGAGTATATCCCAAAATCCTAGGGGCAAAAACAGGCAGGGGATCATCTTAAAGCCATTGTTGATTTTCAGGGCAGGACAGTAACAAAGAGAAAAAACAGACAAACCTAAACTAACTACATTATTAAATCTTGAGCAACCGACTTCATTGTTGACTGGAAGCCAGAAGCTGCTCCTTCATCCATAAAATTGGAGAACCACTGATTTATTTTCATTGGTAAGTTCTGCAGCCCCATGGTCTTAGAAAAATATCTTTTGAGCTATAATTCAAGTAATGGTAATAATAATAATCCTTGGATTTGATATAGCGCCTTATCATATCTTTTGAGACGTCTCAAGGCGCTTTAGAATATACTGTAAATGGACTGTATACATTCTGGGCAAAACGGTATACAATAAACTTCACATACAACAACAACACCATTTTATTTATGGAGCACCTTTCACGTCGGGAGGACGTCCCAAGGCGCTGGACAGTTGGGTTGGGATCCGAGCAGGGGGAAAATGGTCAGGGTGAGGGGAGGGAAGGGAGGGAGCGAGGAGGGGGTAGAGAGTCGAGAGGGGAGCTGAAGGCACGGTCGAAGAGAAAGTCTCGAGACTGGCCTTGAAGGAGGAAAGGGAGGAAGCAAGGCGAAGGCACTGGGGGATGGAGTTCCAGAGCCTCGGGGCTGAGAGGCTGAAGGCCCGGCCACCGATGGTAGGGCGGTTAGGGCGGGCGATGTGGAGCAGACCGGAGCCAGAGGAACGGAGGGTACTGGCAGGTAGGTAGGGGGATAGTAGGTCAGAGAGATAGGAGGGAGCAAGGCAGTGAATGGCCTTGTAGGTGAGGATGAGGATCTTGAATTCGATCCTCTGGGGGATGGGGAGCCAGTGGAGGCGAGCGAGGGTGGGAGTGATGTGGTCGCGAAGCCTGGTGCGGGACAGTACACGAGCTGCAGAGTTCTGAATGACCTGCAGCTTGTGAAGGGAGGTGCCGGGAAGGCCGGCGACATAAGTCGTGTCAGCAGGGACCATTCTTTTAATATGACTCGTGCAAAGTATGAATTATGTCAACCTCGCATAGAATATAAACTCTTGAACGACACATGGGCAGACGTATGACTTAGGAGGCGATTATACAATCTCCACGCATCAGACTTACGCACATTTCACCGCAACCACGAAAAGCTGACAGCACTCATAGCGCAGTTAAAAAAAATCTTCCCCCGAATCCAAGGTGGTTGGCATAAACGGATGCAATGGGTGCATTTTCAATGACAGTTCCAACCGGTGAATAAAAATGGCATTGAGTTTGAATCCCCTGCCATATATATATATATATAATAATCATATATATCATATATCAAGTGCAAGGATTATTATTATTATATTATTATAATTATATTACTATATTATTGCATTGCAGGTGACTCGCCTACCTGTAAGTCACAGCATTATTCTCCCACTTGGGTTTTCGGGGGAAGAAGTTGTAATTGGCCAAGTCAGGAACCCCACAGCGGGGCTGTTTCATCAGATCCACAGTCTCACTGTCCAACTTCCCAGTTTGCGGGATTCCGAAGAACTTCTGCATCTTTTTCAGGGTGGCTGACAGAGTCGCCAGGTCACACTGTGTTTCAGGGCAGCCATAGTACTTGTTCAGGTAAATCTGTATTGGGTTTTATTGGGTGTGTGTGTGGGGGGTGGGAAAAAAAAGGAAAATAAAGAATTTGGCGTGCATGTAAAGAAGTTGAGAGAGAAGTTGTGACACAAGTTTTTTTTTCTCTCTCTCTTGGTTTGCATCCAAGGATTTTCTCTCTTGGCCAGAGAGGTGGTAATTAATGTTCATTCGAAACAGTTCAGACTCACACATCCATACACACACACACACACATCCACACACACACTCGTGCAGCAAATAAAACCTGACCTGTTTGCTTGCAAAATTTCAACATCCCCAGGGCAATGCTAACCAACTGGAACAGAGGACATTGAAACTCAACGTAAAATGACTGGGTAAATGACTTGGAACTTGGAGCTGTGAGATCGTCCCAATAACGAAATGTTTTGAAACCCACAAGTCTCACACCAACTAAAACAACAACAACAACAACAAGATTCCATTTATAAAGCGCCTTTCACGTCAGGAGGACGTCCCAAGGCGCTGCACAGTTGGGTCATGACCCGAGCAGGGGGGAAATGGTCAGGGTGAGGGGAGGGAAGGGAGGGAGCGAGGAGGGGGGAAATGGTCAGGGTGAGGGGAGGGAAGGGAGGGAGCGAGGAGGGGGAAGAGAGTCGAGAGGGGAGCTGAAGGCTCGGTCAAAGAGAAAGGTTTTGAGACCGGCCTTGAAGGAGGAAAGGGAGAAAGCAAGGCGAAGGCACTGGGGGAATAGAGTTCCAGAGCCAAACATTTTTTTTAATAAAAAAGAGTTAAAAGTAAACGTAATCGTTCACCTTTGCAATTAGTTTTAATTTGTCCTCTCGCTCCACGCCTAATAATAATCCTTCCAAAACCAATAATAAAAATTGATCACTTTCAATCTACGACTGTTTGTGGGACATTGCTGTGCGCAATTGGCTGCCGCGTTCGCCCACAAATACACAGTCAATTCACTTTACAGTGTGTTCTGTGAAGCGCTTTGGGACGTCCTCCCGACGCGAAAAGCGCTGTATCAAATGCAAGGATTACTATTTAGTATTATTATTACTTCTAACTACAATTGACACAACGCCACCGTGATATTTTTTTTGCTCGTTGTTTCGATGGCGCAAAATAAAAGGGTGAGCTTTGGATAAACCAACCAACCAACCCAACCAACAAACAAACAAACAAGCAAAGCAAAGCAAAGCAACACACTTTAGGTGCTGATCCCCCCAACTTCAATGAAAACTTTGCACCCTTTCACGTTGTCAAAATCGAGCAAAGAAGTGAGCATTGGTTCCAAAACACACTTGGATCCCAGGAGGAGGGTAGGGGGGTGGTGGGGGGTGGAAATGCTGCCAAGTCACATAAAACGCCATTTGCAAAGAAACTGGTTACGAAAAAAAGAGAGAGAGAAGCTTAACATCACAGTTTTTCCCCCAAACTTACAGCAGCAAGTTCCTCCTCACTCCTCGGGGTGCTATCGCCTGGAAAGGCAACGATGCGGGTCGGTGCAGCTGAGGTCTGCTGGACAGTGAGGATCTGGACCAAAGCAACTTTTAAGACCAAGTGATAAAAACAGTCGACTGTTTTGCTGGTCATTTTCTTCCAAATCACAACTTGTTATCTTTTTTTTTTGGGGGGGGGGGTGGTTGGTGGTGATGGTGATGCTGGTGGTGGTGGTGGTGGTGGGGAGGGGAGGAAATAAATAAACTTTCCCCTTTGGTGTTGTGCACCAACTGCACTGCACAAACAATCCTATTATTTGTTTTAATTCCTCTCCCTCCACCCCCACCCCACACACTTTTTTTTCTGCGCTCTTTTTTTTTTGCAAGAGGCTCTTTTGCAACAGGAGAATTTTGCAGACGCCTTTGCTCTTTTTTTTTTGCTAAACTTTGCTCCTGTCGATGCAAAATCCTTTGTACTTTCCTTCCAGATGCGCAGTCGCGATCAATCTTCTCCTGCAAAAGGCTAAAAGCACTGGCGGAAGTCGAAAAAAACCCAAAGAAGGAAATGCATTCCCTGGCAAGTGGGCACAAGCCTCCAAAAAAACTTTTTTTTGGGGGGAAGGGGGGGGGGGGGGGGAAATAGGTTGTTTGCAAAGTCTGTGCAATCGTTCCCACTCTCACTGCGCTTTGCAATTCGAGTTGTTGCCTCTGCAACTTTCTGCTGCACTGAAATCAACCAGAACTGCTCCCCCACCTCTCCCCCTCCCCTCCTCCTCTCAAAAAAAATTCATTCCTGCAGCTGTACTTTCTCTTCAAAGTACGAAAAATCCAGCAAAAAAAATAAAGAAGTTTCGGAAAGTTATTGTCATGTTATGTGCTGTTTTTTTTTTGGTGGGTGGGTCAAGGAATTGCTCTTTTAACGTTTGTCTTAAACTGCTGATGCTTTACATTACATTAATAATGTTAACTCAATATTAACGTTGCCAATATTAAGTCTGGCTTTGCTTTAATCGTTGTTTTTGGAGAGGAAAGTGAATGCTGAACACTGAAAGGTTCCAAAGAAGCGAATCGTCACGAGAATCCGCTGTAACACACACACACACACACAAAAAAAATTGAATGTTTTTCAACTAATTGATCCCATATGGCAGAGAGCATTGGGTGGCTGTGAATTCCCACTGGTTGCATTTCCATTTCATTCAACGACGAGAGCATAAAGGGAGAAATGGGCACGAAAACAGTGCACAGTTTTAAAAGTAAAATAAATGCAAAGTTTGCAAAGGTTTGTCATAACCGTCATGTGCTGTTCAAAGCCCTGTCTGGTGATTCACTGTTGTTATTGCAAAGCAGTGTCTTGTTATTGCAAAGCAGGAAGGCGCTGGTTATCATTCTGCTATCGTCCCAGACACTGTTCACCCTGTTACTACTCTCGCAAATGTTATTGATCAGTGAATACCAATGCAGAGAGAGAGAGAGAGAGATGGTGGGAAATAGAGAGAAGGAGGGAGGAATCACTCCTCCCATCACACACATTTTTTGATAGACTGAAAGCTTGTGTGTGTGTGCACGTTTCTTGTGGCAATGAATCAATCAATCAATAATCAATCATGATTCGAAGGGTGATAAAAGCCAGAAGCAAGGTTTGCTTCTAGTCGAAACGTGTATTGCCTTCAAGAGATAACGATAGCTCCCCCCCAACACACAAAAAATAAATTAAGATGGAACATTGAGGTAGGTTGTGTGGAGTCACTATTGATTGCATTGTATACAGTATTTGTGGCTTTGGCAAATGACCCCTTCAGGAAAGGTTTTGTGTAACGAGTTGCACTTTTTAAAAAAAAACTTGTCTGTACTTTTATTAAAAACACGTTTTTTTGAAAAAAAATTGAGCAACACCCAGTTGGCAGAAGTGGAATCTCATATAAATCAGGAACAGCAGCTGATAAGCTCATTTTTCTAAAGTTTATCCTCTCTTCCCTTCCCTTGACCTCAGTTTGCTGTGGCAACACAGAGTGAACCATCCCTCTAACACACACGTTTAGCACCAGTTACTCATTACAGAGGACATGTGCAATATAAAGGTGAAGACTATAAGTTTGGTGGTTAGCAAAAGAGAGCGAGAGGTTCTTTTGTTTTGCTTTTCTCCCCCTTTTGGGCCACGATGTCTCAACGATGTGATAAGGCGCTTATCAAATGCAAGGATTAAATCAATGTTATTGTTAAATTTAATTTTTCATGAAGTTGCACTTTTTATTGTGTTGGTATTCCCCTTAACTACTTTTGTTTTGCTTTATCTCTCAAAGGGATTAAGAACTTTTGATGGGATTTTTATTTCTTGGTCATACACTCAGATAAGGCCACACAATTCATTTACTTCAAAATTCATATGTCCTACCTCATCTGATCAGGTCAATCACACAGTGCTGTTCAGCCACTCAACCTTCCCAGTAAACCCACTGTTCATTTTTAATCGATTTTACTTTTCTGACAGCATTACTGAGCGAGTTTTGCTTTCTTTATAAAGAAGTCTACTTCTCACAAAGATTTCTCACAAAGATCCAGTGTCTTGAGTTTTTTTGGGTCAGCCGAGTGTCTTAATGCGTGCAGAAACCCGTCACTATGCTTAAGAGTATTCAAACCAAGCTGAGAATTCCATACGTCCCATCTATACATCGAATCCCTGGAGGGACACACCCTGCTTGTCTAATTTCGAAAAGTATTTGAGACACCTGAAAACATCTGAAATTTATATTAACCACACCTGTTGTAGATAACTCACTTATTTTGGTAAATGAGTGCTTGTGCGTAATAATTGGAAACATTGCTTTGTCCCACTTCCTTTGTAACATGGAATGGGTTGGAGTCGTGCTTCAGTTACCAATTTCACAGAGATATAGGGTGAAACTTTGACAATTGTTTCTCAAATGTTCTTGTAGACAAAGAACAGAATGAGGTAAGAGATTTGGAGGTAACTGTATGTGGGGGAACATGGTTTTAACTTCAACAATGGTAGGATTTGGGGCATATTCTGCAATCCGATTATCTCCGTTCATTTCTCTCCTCTTCAGTCTCCTCTGGTGAATTGAACAGTAAATGAAAACAGAAGAACAGCGAATACATTTTAAGTTAAACATTTGGGAAATTTGATACTTAAGTATAGATGTTCAGTAAAATACTGTAGAGTAATAGACATCCGAATTCTGATCACATTTTTTTGAGAAGTACGAATTCAGAAATCTTCACCTTTTACTTAAATTTAATGGGCTGTATTTCGTTTAAAATACCTTCACTTGTAGGTCTCCTGCCAAAATCAATAACAGTAAAAGTGATGTCTGAATTTGTAAGACAGGAACACTACAAATCACAAGGGAGACAGATCTGAAGAAATGGAAATGTTATATTTCCCTGGAATTACCCAGTTTGAGTTGAGTAAAATTTGTTGTCAGTTTGATTGTCAAAGTGCTGAGAGAATCAGCACAACTGAGGTTGAACTTGGTGAATATATTCCTTCCTTCCTGATGCAACCTATATTGCAAAGAGTTTTGAAGAAGTCTCACTGAAGAATATTTGGATAATCGTGGAATAGGCTGAAATTATCAGGTATTTGAATTAGTGGAGAGAGTGAAACGGACAAAAAATAACAGTAAATTGTATTATAGTATTAACTAACTTTGAGTTTGAGCAATAGTTAAGATATTTGCTTTAATGAGATTATTGTGCTGGAATTTACTTTTAATCTTTTGCAAACTCCTCTATAATTTTATTTAAATAATCCTTGCTTTTGTATTAAGAGCTTTTCGTGACAGGAGGACATCTCAAAACACTTCACAGGATTTACTCAAAGTGTAGTGGGTCATTTTATAGGCAAACTGTGTGTGTGTATATATATACATATAGACTTGGATTCGATTCCCAGCAGGGCGAAATGTTGGGCAAGTTTCCTTACTCCGCACGCTTCTGTTCCTCCCGACGTGAAAGGCGCTCTATAAATGGAATCTTGTTGTTGTTGTTGTTGTTACCTAGCAGTAAGTAGGAACCTGGTTGTTAGTCAATTGGTGGATCACTTTTCTGTGGGTAATAATTCCTTCAAAAAAATAATAATAATTTAGTCACTCAATCCATGACTATTTATGGGACACTGCTTGCACAGTTGGCTGCTGCGTTTCACCACAAAATATACAGTCAATTCATAACAGAACATTCTGTGAAGTGCTTTGAGATGTCTCAAAGACGTGATAAGGCGCTATATCAAATGCAAGGATTATTATATATAATTTCTTTTCCATTATTTTGAACCTCAAAGTTTAAAAAAAAAAATCCCGACCCCCTCCAATGCTGAAAGCAAAGACTTGTACAGTTCTATAGCTTCCAGAAGCCTTGCCAACACCTTCCTCTCAATGGGCCATTCTTCATATGTGTGTGGACTGATAGTTTAGCCCCGTCTTCCTCCAACATTTACACCCGCATTTGAAACAGAGTTTACTGGATAAGGTCAGGAGTGGAAACGACTCGGTCAATAATTACATTCTTCGTAGACTTGGAATCCTCCACCACCACCACCAATAACAACTTGCATTAATATAGCGCCCTTCATGCAGGGTAGCGTTCTGGAAACCAAGATCAATTTTGAAATGAGTTAACTGACCCAACGGCAGCATCTAAGTGTGAACTTTCCTAGTCTTCATGGTTGGCAGTTTTTTTTTGCGCAGTGCATTTAATTACTGAGACAGTGTTTTTGTGAACTCTTTTGTGGTGTTCCACTGGCTTGACAAGAGATGCAATTACCACCCTCTAGCTTGGTGGCATGATATAATTTTAGAAAAATACACTCTTATTCCTCTCAATCACTTATTTTTATACTTTGCATCATGTCTGTTTATAAATTGAGTGCATCTGTAACATTATAATCTTCAGTGAATGCAGTTACTCTCTCTCCCCTTTGAGATGATTTCAAGATTTAAATAGAAACTATAGTTTGTGCTAGAAAAATAATTTTTACTGTAATGATGGATAATCTGTGTAAAACGTCCAGGTGGACAATGACATGAGGAATAGAAGTAATTTGGATTTAAATAATTATTGTTTTATCTTTGTTGCTCAATGATCACTCAGAAAAATATTTTGGCTTTGGAAATAGAGTAACAAGTTCTGGAATGAAACCGATCATAATTTAAGTACAATGTGGATGAAGGAGATGCAAAATTGCTACC